AAGAAATCTCCGATTAAATATTTCTAGACAGTGACACGTACATGAGCTATTTTAATAAGTTGCAGCACTCGGCTATCAAGCCGCTCGTGAAAGTGTGTACCTTCGGTTCGACGTCAGCGTGGTGTACGTCGAACTGAAGTTTTCGGGTGTATTATATGGGACAGAGGCTGTAAGTACTGCACACCCTATTCCTGCGAGTGTAGAAGTAATCATCGTGTTGACGTGGTATTTTATACACACAACTGCAGGCAGCTTGCAGCGCCAGCACTCCGCGGACGGGTCGAGTCCTTGGAAGTTGAGATGGTGCGGTCATGCGGTCGTTCTCTCCTCGTGTACCTCGACAAAGCGAGGTTGTAACGCGTTGAAGCCACCAATTGGCAAAGCTCGCAACTATGCTACGCTTGGCCCTGCAAGACACGATGAGGTCACGGCCGCGCCGGATCTCGCGAGACGCATCGTGCGTTTTTCGATGGCTGTCTTTGAAGCGCTCGGCAAACATATAGCCATCCGCTCAAAATACAAACAAGTGATTGTCATTTACAGGCACTTGATCCTATTCGACTTATTCCTGAACGTCTGGCGAGTATGTCAAGTTTCGGTTAAGGATTATTTTAAGAACTTCTCCCGCAGTGTCAAGTATAAACGATTATCCAGGAAGAAATATGGAGATTTGAGAAATATTTTCCCATTACAAGTGCTCCTAGTTACTGTGAATGTTGGTTCATACAGTACCGTTTTCTCACGTTACGAAGCTTACGCACTCTTACGTCCAGATACGACCGCAGGTCAACGGCACATTTGAGCCAGCCTGTTTAAAGGGTGATTCACTCACTTGTATGAGCTCGATCGAGTGCGGCTGCAACGGCTGCGACGCTGATTCTTTTTACGGGTTGCAATGACGACAAGGTCTTAAGTCGCTCACAACAACCCCGTTGCCATAGCAATCCGTAAAAAGATTAACGTCGCAAGCCGTTGCAGTTGCACTTGCTCGAACTCACGCAAGTGTGTGAACCAGCCTTAATGGCCGATTCAGACGACGTACTAATCCGCGGACGGATTGATCACGTGACGACATGTCCGCGGTTCGTCCGTCTTCCAAGCGCATCCACACGAGGGAGACGACGAGCAGACGCCAGCAAGGACGGACCGAACCTGTTCGTCACAATACAGTGCCGCGAAACTCCAAGATCGGACCGTGGCACAGTTGTCCAAGAGAGAAATCGACGTTTGCTACCGCGACAAATAATCGTACGCCGCTGTTACATTCAGATCGAGACAGAACACCGTGATAGGCTTCGCGCGAAGCGCCACTGGATTTACTAACCCAAGGCATGGCAGTGACACAAGCATGGTTCTGGTCGAGAAGGCTTCGGTGTAGAAGGGACCAAGTTCTGGGCTCGCGGAGGGGCGTTTGGAGATGCCTTAACGTACTCCGCGCTCGTGCACAAAACTTGCGTACATCACAGCCACAAGAGAGTTTTTGCACGGTGAGAGGCTGACTGGACGTACAAGAATTATCGCGCCGTGTTAGACGAGTTTCGATTAAAGCTTCTTGACATGGACTCAAAGGAATGCCGGAACCTGCGTCACGTCAGCTGGACAAAGTTTTCTAGAGTTTCTTTCACGCCAAGACTCGCGTCAAGAATCGCGCGACAAAATGAACCAGCGAGTTCACAAAACACGATGATATCTATTTTTGCTTTATTCGTCGCAAAACAAAGAAAAAAACATTATACCTTTGCCAGGTAAAATGCTTTTCACGACAATCTCCCGACAAAAATCCGCAAGTAAAACGGTTCTCGACTTAATCAGTCCGCACGTCCGCGGACGAGGCGTGGATGGCAGGAATCGGTGACGTGACAGTCACGTGGTACAAGGTCCGCGGACAAAAATTGCGATCGGGTCCGTTGAGTGAATTAGAGTGAATCGTCTATAAGATGCACCAGGAAGTTGGCACGCGGAATACGAAGCACGGATAAGGTGGTGACTTGCGGTCTTATCTCGACGTAAGCGTAAGTAAACTTCGTAACCATTAGGAAGCGGAATTATGCTTTAAAGTTCTGAACCAAGGAATTCAGTGTCCATAATAAGTGGCGTACGTTCTTTCCACGAGCCAGCAGCTGCCGGTGTGTGCGAGCACACGCAACAAAAATGACGTCAAAGACCTCCATTCGCGGTTAAGGTGAGAATGAAATGTATGGAGCTTCGGGCCGAAGGAGAATAAAGACAAGTTTTTCATCTACACAGTGGTATGTGGTGTAAAAGGTAAGATAATAATTGGTCTAACAAGCCGTAGCTTTCAATTGTAAAGATGAAAAGCCTGTCTTTATTCTCCTTTGGCCCGAAGCCGATGCATTTCACTGGCCTCTTAAGCGCGAATGGAGGTCTTTGACGTCATTTTCGTTGCGTGTGCTCGCGCACACTGGCAGCTGCTGGCTTGTGGAAAGAACGTGCGCCACTTATTATGGGCACTCAATTCTTTGGTTGAGTATCCCTTTAAGGACACACCTTAAAAGGGTCGCGAAACATTTTCGGTTGGAATGCTTATGACTTTGCACAGGCGTACTGGTCGGAGTCTGGTCCAAGTATACACGAACTTATCTCTGTTATTATGTCACGGCGCGGTGGTGGCGCGTCGGGGGCACTTCCGGTCTGAGGCTGTGGGCGGAAGTCCTCATCTGAGACGTGTATATTCCAGCGTTATTTTGAAAGGAACCAAACAAAAACCTGCCTTCTCGTCAAAAGCCGTGACTGGTACTGTACTAAAAGAGTCGAGAAAGGTTTAAAGGTCAGTTTTTATGTGCTCGGCTCGTCCGAGAACTTGGATATGTGCCGTGAAAAGAGAAAACCAGACGCCGTCAGACCACGATTGCTTGAGCGGGAAACACTTTGGGTTCAATTTACGGATACTTGTGGTCAACACATTTATTTGCTTCGTTCCAACAAGAACGCCGGAAAACCGTCAAGTTGTACGGACCACCTGCGGACTACGTTCAGTGCGTCTTCAAGTTCAAACGGCCGTCTGATCGTTCGAAATTTCGTCTGCTCTTCCAAACGTTTCTGCTTGTCGTCTGCTCTTTTAGACGACAGCGATCCGTAGGCCAAATGTTTGCCCTGCACTTGTAATAAGAAATAAGTGCAGGCCTCAAAAGACTTACGTTTGAGGGTTGGTAAGCAGGCTCGATGTAAAACAGTGGATACAGGGAGATGTTATCATTGTTAGAAGTCGCCGTCAACGACTTGTTATGCCTGATTCACTTGGTCCGATTCTGCTTGCGAGTTTTAGTATCGACGTCGACCATCTCAGCTACGGTTCACGCTTTTGCAGCCCGAGCGACGTCGGGACTGAAAATTGCGAGTGAAATTTCATCATGCGAATCAGGCTTTAGCGTCCAATCTGCGGCGTCCACGCGGAATGAATCGCCGCATTTCACATTATTCACGCGTAGTTGTGCGGTGTAACGAGCCTCGGTAATTTCGCTGAGGCCGCTCAAGTAGTCAGACATTGCCAGGAAGACGTAGAATCAACAATTAGAATAATAATAATAATGTTTATTTCCGTCAAAACACAAATGACGGAGGGAGAGCGAGGAATAAGCTGCATCATGCAGCTTGACGGGCCCTCGCCTCCCCCCCCCCCCCCCCCCTCCTTACACATGGCTGCAGTGGCACAAGTAATCCAAAAAGAAAATTAGAGAAAAGATAACGATTTCAGAGATAAGAACAGGACAATATTATAAAAAAAGCTCCGCCTATATAAGAGGCAAACAAAATCAAAGCACATGCAAGCACAGCAATTATTCAATTCAGCAAAAATTTAGGTTATGAAACATGACAACTAAGCAATCACATTTGGAAAAGAAAAAAATGCTCGGAGATTTTTTACAGATGTTGTCGGAAGATCACTGTTGTGAGTAACAAGAAAATTAAGCAGACGAGGAACTGCATATTTTAACACTGCTCCACCGTAGTTGGTTTTGCAAATTTCAAACTTGAAGACAAGCAGGGGTACTCACACGGGCGACAGGCGGCGGCGAGTTTCTTGCAAACACTCCATCGCGCATACGCGGCGCCGGTGGCGTCAGCTAGGGGCGCTCCGGTTCGTTTTAAAATAGGGTGCCTACATGTCTATCTGTCTCAGGGTGAAGACATCCATTGTTGCCCTGAATGTGCCAGCGCGTAACGCTCTCGCGCACTCGGTGCGTGACTTGCGCGGTAAAATGGCATCTATCTATTAGCCAAAGCTACGCGCTCGAGCTGAGCGACACCGGACTGCGCGCACTTAAAAATTCATAAAAAAACGATTGGGAGGAAAAATGGCTGAGATGTCACCACTCAAGCAAAAGCGCGTGTGTGTATGAAGGCACTCTATTTTAAAACATGAGTTGGTGTATCCTCGCACAGTCCGCCACTGATTCAGAAGCTTCTTTGTCGCGATGAAATTTCGAGAAAAAAAAGGGACTATTTATTTCATGCTTGCCTTCGCAAAGCTTGATGACGAAATTGTGGAATCGAAACCACCCGCCTGACGGAGTCGAGCGCAGCTCATAAATTAGACAGAAGAGCTGCGTGAGCACTCGACTTCGGCTCGCAAAAATCAATGCCACGGAGGACACTCGGGTAGTGGCTCGTGTCCAACCACTGCGATGTTAAGAATAGCCGTACTCTAACATTGCCTGGAGCTCAGCACGCGTTTTCTACTTTGCCAAGCCCAGCGCGTGGCTATGATAAGCGTTGGCGGCATAAGATAGGCACAAGGCCACGTGGCCGATTATTCTGGCTCCGAGCTGAGGGAACATTGTACTAAGGGTATGAACAATCCGAATACTTCTCGAATTTTGTTTTACGGCTGCCAGTGCAGACAAAAAACCTAAGGCAAGTTTATTCAGCTATTAACGTTAGGGGATGATCTTAAGTTGCATTTCACGGAAGTAGAAAACTTGTTTTATGGCTCCTTTAAGGCAGGCTCTAACTGCTTAAAGATGACATTTTTATGCCAGCACGACGTGGGACCCCAATGCATTCCAGGAGGCAGCGAGGGTAACTACTTGATGTTCAGCAGCGCCTCGAGTGGAAGTGAACCCAACAACCGCAAGTTTTCACCTTGCAGCGTCGATTTCATTTCGGCCATCCTCCACGATATGCTCAGCAACCAGGGCAGCAGGGAAAATTGCTTGATCGGTAAGACCCATCTTCGGTTGACGAGCAACCGAACAAGGAAGAGCAAGCTACACATACGTGCATGGAAATCAAAAACATTGAGCTCCAAATTGAATATCCGGCAAGAATCGGCGACTTTCTCGCCGAGTGTTCAGCATAGATCCCCTTGCTAATTATGCGCAACTCTTGGCTGATCGAGAGAGTCGGCACAGCGTAATCTATCCGGAAGTTGGACGGTATCGTTCAAATTAACGCAATGAAGACGTGTGCTTCAAACACAACTGATTCTTATATCCGAACGGCGCAAAAAAGCGAGGACAGCAGGAAGAATTGGACGAAATGATGCGCTACTGATAACTGAGTTTTTACTAAAAAAATGAACAATTTCATTAAAAAAAAAGTAAAAGCCGTTTACAAATCCCTGTAACGCCGAATTGGAGCGCAGCTCTTGAGGAGGAGGAGTGAAGGGTACTGAGGGGAGGGTAGACCCCTCCTCCTTCTCCTCCTCCTCCCCTCATTCTTTAAATGCTCCGGGGGTCACGTGACCTTGGGAAATGTTACGTGACTTCGGGGAGGGGGTCACGTGACCTCAGGGAGGCGTGACCTGGGGGTCACGTGACCTTGGGTGTCACGTGGGGGTCACCTCAAGGTCACGTGACCCCCAAGGTGACCCCCACGTGACCTTGGGGGTCGCGTGACCTAGAGGGGTCACGTGACCTCGGGGGTCACGTGACCTTGGGGAAGAGACCACGTGACCTCGGGGGTCACGTGACCTTAGAGGGGTCACGTGACCCCTCCTCCTCCTTAGGAGGTCACGTGACCTGGGGGTCACGTGGGGGTCACGTTGGGGTCATGTGACCTTGAAATGAACTTGGGAGGGGTCACGTGACCTTGGGGAGGAGACCACGTGACCTCGGGGGTCACGTGACCTCAGATGGGACACGTGACCTCAGAGGGGTCACGGGACCTTCAAAGGGTCACGTGGGGTCATCTTGGGGTCACGTGACCTTGAGATGACCTTGGGAGGGGTCACGTGACCTGGAGGGGTCTCGTGACCTTGGGGGTCACGTGACCCCAAGATGACCCCACGTGACCCCTGAGGTCACGTGACCTTGGGGGTCACGTGACCTTCAGGGGGTCATGTGGGGTCTCGTGACCTTGAGATGACCTTGGGAGGGGTCACGTGACCATGGGATGACCTTGGTTACGCCGACGCCGCTCAAGCCGGGAACGGGCCCCTAAGAGCTGCGCTCTAAAATATTACATGACAGTACAGGCTTGTTTCTTCTAATTCTTCCGGTTGTCCTTGTTACTTTTTTCTTGTATTTCTAAATTTTAAATTTTACCAACCTGCCCACCTGTATATTTGTTTACAACTGATTCGACCAAATAGTTTTGTTACGTATAAGATAAGAGTGAAACACACGCATTTGCGGAATGTACAGGAGCTATGACAAAACAAACATCCGTGCGGTCCTTGACAACAAAATGTCAGCACAGTTGCCCTTCAGTAGACCTTCTCAAAGAAAGGGCTCTTGGTCGCTTCCATTCTCAGTGTTCGTGAGTATGGCGCGTGGGTCGCTCGCTTTCCGAAGCGACGGACCTGCGCGTGCTAGGGCTCTAATGTGGACACTTGGCGAAACTGTCGGCGTAGAATATGGCGGCCTTGATTGGGCGGGTCCGCACTTCTTGGTGCCAGCCAAGCGCTGCGGTCGAATTTCTCGCCGACCTTTTTGTCAGGTGTTCATAGTACAGCGCCTGGGCTGAGGAGATCGCACGTTGGGCTGAGAACTTAAAAATATTAAAACGGTGTATGGGAAATATTCACTGGCGGCCATAGCTGTGTGCGCGACTGCTGAGCGCGTGCTCACGACGAGCTTCCACAGTTCTTTTGCAACGTGCATTCCGCACCATCAATATTGGGGGTCTTAGCAACCTAATAATATAAGATCGTTCCGAGCATGCGCTAAACATCGCCCGCAAATATGGCCTCCAGTGAATACCCCCTACTAGCGTCGGCCTTTTGTGCTACGTTGCCACGGCTAGTGCGGCTTCTGCAACACACCAATGTAAATGAGACGCTGTAGGACAAAGCGGCGTTGTGAGAGCTACGCTAACCGCAATGTCGAACAATAGGGAATTGTAGTAGACCGTTTCCGCAGCCCGCTAAGCACCCGGATAGCGCTCCGTAATCCGCCACAAGACCTTCAACTATGCAGAGAAGGCTGGCGGCGCGCATGCGCAGCTGGGGCGTTTTCTTCGGGGATACCGTAGCGGAGGAGAAAAACAATCTACTACAACTCCCTAATATAGTTGACGCCGAGTATAGGGCACTATGGTAGAACGCAGCTCGTTTAACGCTGACGTAGCAGCGGTTTTGGTAAGTAATTGAATACCGCTTTAGGCCTATGCAGTCTGACAGCGTTCCTATCGGTTTCATGCATAAACACAGCGGCGCATCGTGTGCAGCGAGCTGCCCTTACAAAACACTGTGGTGCTTTTCTATTGAAAGACTTTTGAAAAAGTCATTACAGGATATAAAATGTAAATAGCATTTCATCTGACTTTCTTATGGTTTTCCGTTGCCGCTCTTTCGAATAGTTACCCACTTTTTGACAAAAAAAAGTCAAGAGACTTTCTGTCGCCACCAAGATGTTTTTTTGTAGCTTTTCAATCGAAAAACTACAGCCGTTTAAAAAAAACGTGAAAGCCGTTTACAACTCCCTGTAACGCCGAATCGGAGCGCAACTCTTGAGGAGGAGGAGGGAAGGGTACTGAGGGGAGGGTAGACCCCTCCTCCTCCCCTCATTCTTTAATATGCTCCGGGGGTTCACCTGACCTCGCGGGGGGGGGGGGTCGCGTGACTTCGGGGGGGGAGGGGGCCACGTGACGGGGGGTCACGTGACCTGGGGGTTACGTGACCTTGAGGTGACCTTGGAAGGGGTCACGTGACCTTGGGAGGGGTCACGTGACCTTAGGGTGACCTTGGAGGGGGTCACGTGACCTTAGGGTGACCTTGGGGGTCACGTGGGGGTCACCTTGGCGGCACGTGACCTTGAGGTGACCTTGGAAGGGGTCACGTGACCTTGGTAGGATTCACGTGACCTCGGGTTCACGTGACCTTGGGTGCCCTTGGGAGGGGTCACGTGACCTTGTGTGACCTTGGGAGGGGCCACGTGACCTTGAGTGACTTTGGGGTGACCTTGATTGACGCCGCTCAAGCCGGAAACGGGCGCCTAAGAGCTGCGCTCTAAAAATTATTCACAGCTTACCTATTCATTCAATAATGTTTTGGAAGCTTACTGCGGCTTTCCACTCTGTTCAAAATGGACTGCGACAAAATAACGTAAAAAAGGCAAATATCTTTTAGTTTTTATTTTATTTTTGATTTAGTTAGGGAACAATGCCCCTGTGGTATTTGAAAGAACTGCATCATCTCACAACTACGCATTGGAAACAAACACAAACATCATAATGCACAGAGCACAGTCCCGTTGACTGCTCAGAGCCTTATACAGCCTACATATTGGAGGTAATCATTTGACCGGTGACCACCTCTGCACTTATTATGGTTCCAAGTATTCGATCTTCTCTTCAAGAGTCAGTCAATGGGAAAACACTGTTTCGAAGTTCGTGGACAATATTTATTACTAAAAAGCATTCGTACATCTAATAACAATTCGGCGCAGTCGCACAAAGAACATCCACAAAAACTGCTCCTAGAAGAAATGTTATTGCTTCTCTGCATAGCACCAGTCGGGACGAAGCAAGTGAAAGCAGTTTCTCAACTTTAGAATATATATTTTGCTTTTCTACTAGTTCACTAGTTTTATATGTCACTAAAGTCGGTATAGTCAATTACAAAGTGAGAACGGCAGGTCGTGTCTTGGGAACGCCTTGCTTCCAGCGCGTGCCCCAGGCCTACCGTCGTGCTTTGACTGCACGTGCGCGCTCGAGGTACACGAACACCGAAGCGTTGTTAAAGGTAGTAGGCTCGCGCTAAAGGCGGGACAACTAAAGATGCTCCCCACCGTTCTCACCTTGTCTGAGACTATAAATGAACTTAGTGACTTTTGACATTTAGTCGAGGCTTACTATATTCGATAAAAGTCAACATGAAGTCTGTAGCTTTTCTATTGACACTGGTTACGGAGAATTAACTTATTATCTTCAACACGAAGTAAACAGAAAGTCTGCAGTCACTCTGATGACACTGTCAACATGAAGTCAGCAGAAACAAATCAACGTAAATTCAGTAGAAAGTCAACCGCTTTTCTTTTGACTCACGCTGAAGAGAATCATCAAAAAACTTTCAACACCAAAACAACGAACTTTCTGATGACCATGTAAACAGAAAGTCAAAATCAAAAGAAAATAATCAGAGTCAAAAAGAAGTCAACACGTTTTCAATAAAAAGTCATTTTTCTATCCCAACACGCGGCCCTGGCGTCACGCAGCTGCGGCGGCGCGGTTTCGGTTTCTGCGCACGCGCAGTGCGCACACCTGGTGCGGGCAAATTGTTTGTAAACAGCCTGCCGGTCGATAAAGTTCTAGTTGAATTGACATTTGTTTGAATTATTTTTTATGAACCTCACACGTCCTCGGTTAGCTTTTTTTCTGAGTACCTCGCGAAACCTACTGAGAAATGAATTAACCGAATACTTTGCGTGCCAACACAAAATTGGGGAATTAGGAACATGTTCTATCAAATCTCTAAATATTTTACTAATTAAAAATAGAATACATTCCGCTCCGCTCGCTTACGTTCGACAGTGCATCCATAGTACTAAATCTTCCTCTTAGGGGAGGGCTGCCACCGGCGCATACAGATACAGACTGCGCTTGAGTATCTACGATAATAGATGGTGGCAGCCGCCCCTCCCAATTCAGAGGGAAACCCCAAGGCTGCGGCGTATCCAGCCGTTCCAACTACGCGAAACATGTCCGCGCCAAGGCATTTTCTCGGGTGGGATATGTATCGCCCACTGATCTCTATTACAATTGCTGGATCGCGTTTGCCCACTCCGCGAATGCGGCCACTGGTGGCCATCTTTTTGGTAGAGTTATATTACCTCTAGCCAAGGTACAGCTGCTGCAGCCACTATCATCCATCCATGGCAGACAGCGTTGTGGCAGTTGTGGTGGCAGGCTGCCATCAAAATAGCGTGGGTGATATTTCGTGCTTGATTGAAATTGTTTGATGAAACATATTTTTGAAACTCGGCGTGAAGGGTAGCCCGATCTTTGAGGACCTGGTGAAAGTTTCTCGAAATCGCAGCACCGGGGAAAAGCAGCACAGTACGCATCGAAAAATCGCGTGGTGCACGTTAAAGACCCCAGGCTAGCGGTTGTACTGCACTGGCTAAATTTCTCACCTACAGCTGGGAGACTCGTCGCCTCTGTGAGGCAGACCAAGTTCTAGGCTGTATAAACATACACACAACCCAATTTTTTTTTTTTTTTTCATCAAACGAAGCATCGAAAGCAGACGGCGGTACGGAGTCTGCTTTCGATGCGAGCTGCGCTGCTTTCGATGCGAGCTGCGCTGCTTTCCGCCGGTGCTGCGTTTTCGTAGAACTTTGGCCGGGACCTCAAAGATGAGGCTACCGCTCACGCCGGGTTTCAAGAATCTGCTCCGTCGAACAACTTCAATCAAGCACGAAATATCACCCACGGTACAGTGTACTAGATCTATGGCTATTTTATGGCAGCCTGCCGCCATAGCGCTGTCCGCGATATGATTATGATGGCTAGAGATAATATAACTCTACCAAAAAGGTGGCCGACCGTAGCCGCACTCCCGTCCATAGGCGGAGCTGGTCAAACGCGATCCAGCAAATATACATAGAAATCAGTGGTATCGCCCTAGTAAAGAATTTGGAATCACAAGGTGTTAAAAGTTTAGGTCGCGCACGCGTACTTCATTCGGGGCTGGAACCTATATTGGATTTATACATTAACGCGCAGCTGTGACGTCACACAATTACGGCGGCGCTGCTGTGGTCAAGGTGCGTGCGCAGACGCCCCTCCTGACGCCAATGGAATTTCTACGCAAGCGCAATGCGCCTCATTTACCGCTCATTCCCACTGGAAGCGGATCCGCGGTCGCAAAGCGGTTGCGAACGCGGTTGTATAAAGATCCAGCATAATTGCTCGCGCACTTGATGTCATCGAGTGCGCGAGTACTGGATCGTCATACAGCCGCGTTCGCAACCGCTTTGCGAACGCGGATCCGCTTCCAGTGTGAATGAGGGGTTAGTGCCGGCAAACGCTGGTATCTTTGTGAACAGGGTATTGGTCTAGAGAAGTGAGCCGGTTCCTTTTTTGTGGCGCATGTAGAAAGCGGGGGCCCCATCTGCGGCAACACCATTCGCGAGGGAGACGAGGAGTGCGACTGCGGCTTCACGGAGGACGAGTGTCGGAACAAGTGCTGCTTCTCGCCTTCAAATCCGCACAAGGCGAAAGGCTGCACGCTCACTCCCAACGTCATGTGCAGGTGATACCCTCTCACCGCTATTGTGCCGAGTCGTACATCGGGTTCAGATCTGTCTCTGTTTTTGGCGTCTAACCCGATAGACCTACCCCTGAAGATTTCGTTTCAGATATCAGTTTGTATGGGCAAAACACCGCCTTATGCAATTTCTAGGCACGAACCAAAAACGATGAACTAAAAAAATTGAAACCTTTTTTGTAATACTTTTTACAAATGATATAGAATGTTCTTACAAAGTTATATTTTCATATGCAAAACATTTTATCCGGGAAGAAATTATTTTCGATGCCACAAATGCGGGCAGACCCGTGCGTTTGCCATTTTTAAAGCGGGCTCACTGCACATTTATAAAACGTGCTCACTTTTAATGTGTTTTCAGGGATTGACAGTTAATATTCTGAGCGGAAATATGAAAACAGCTAGAATATGAATCATTTATTTTTATGTATAAATGTTTTATGGTTGAGGGCTGAGGGTTGCGGCTTTGTTGGGCGTAAAATGTGGTACGGTTCAATGAGACAACGGTTGCCGGAATATGTCGGTGTGGAGTCGTTCGTGATCTCGAAGTCACCAAAGCTTAGGAGAGGACAAGTTAAAAGGCCTTTACTGGGGATATACGCATCGTTTCAAGCGCTTGTACAAAGCACTTCTGGTGCAAGCTTTTGTTTAGAACTGCAGTAAGGGCTTCTGTGATGAATGGGATCTTGGAGCGTGTCGTTCATCTGTTGAATGTGCCATTTATTTAGCAATTGAAACAAGCTATACCGCTGCGCGGCACAGTCGGTGGTGCTCTGGCATTTTTTTTTTTATTTTCTTAATTGGCGTTCGAACGCTCACAAATACCGATTCGATCTCCATACACCCAAAATAATTATCGCACCACGTCATAACATACGTGCCTTCTATCCCCGCGTACAACTAGAAGCTTCAATATCTCACTTTTCTGTGTTTCTCTTATAGACTTAAATGTATTAAGAAATGGCCGCCGGTAGTGCTCCAAACGGGCTCCCGATTCACGATCCAGCCTAATGCTCTAGAGATTAGTGGCTCGGTCCTCGTTAGTTAGGCGTACTGCGTACCGAGACTGCTCTTTGGAAAGAACCTTTCTTCATTCGTTTTCTATAGTTGGTCATTCTACGTCGTGCCTCCAACTGACAAAACCTCGCAAAAAAAAAAATCAATTTTAAAGCAGGTAAAAAACTGCACGCACTCCTAATAGGCAACCCGCTGAAACAGCGGCCCCGATTCGCTCTAGCGAATCCCGTACGTAAGAAAAAAAAAATAACGCACACGTTAGTTTGTATTTTGGTTTCCAATTGCTTCATGTGGTTTCGCTCATTCTATAGTCACTCCTTGTAGACTTCCGCAGTTCTAAGATCATATTAATATCTCGACAACCAGAGCGACGGAGTCCAGAAACGAGAAGGGTGTTTTTCGACCCTCAAACTCCGTGAGAAGATGACGCTAGTGTTTGGGACAGAACGTGAAAGTTTGAGAACAAGACGTTACCTCAATCAAACCTTAATTTAGGGAAATAAAAATTATCTATGAGCCGACGTTCACCTATGCCTAATGCTGCCAAAACGGAACTGCAGATTGAGGATGCTTGTGGGATTTATATCCGTGGAAAGTTAGCAAGAAAGGTGATATTTTGTCTTCTTGATATATATTTTTTTTTCCACTGAAATAGGTGCTACAGGCGCCCACAATGTGATTTCTCGTTTTGACAATATTAGGCATAGGTGGACGTCGACTTATAGAAAAATTCCGTTTTTCTCAAGAATCTTTTCATCCAGGTAACGTCATGTGCACATACTTTTGCGTTTTATCCCACCAGCTAGTGTCATATCTTCACGAAGTTTGAGTTTTCTGCGACGCGTAATTTATCTACCCGGGCCTAAAAACACCGCTCTTTTTTCTCGGAAACTCTCCGTACATTTTTTGCCTCGATTCGCCTCGAGATCGAACCGTGGCGTCACCATGCGGCCGAAATTGTAAACATGTGAAATCCGCGGTGCGTCGTCAGCTACAGTCGCACTTTCGGGAACATCACTGTCGACGACGCAAGTCTTTATTTCGGCTGAGCTGTAGCTTCCTAATTAAATGCTTGTTGTTTTTTCTTTGTTTTTATTTCTTCTTACTAAATGCTGTGCCGTGTCGTTTTTCACGCGTCAAAATTCATCTTAGTGCTGTGGTTTAAAGAACCGCTGGTCCTACATATATGTATTTTTTTTTTATCAAGCACAATTTATAAGTTTCGTAAAACATTGAATGCTGGTTGGGGCAGGATGTAAATAAAAAATTAAACCCGACTGACAGGACTAATCGATAAATTACTCAGCTGATTTTCTCCAGTCATATTTCACAAAAGACAATATAACCACACGTTTGCATACTATTTTTACTATGTTATAAATTACATTTTGCTGTCTCCTTTAAAACGTCACGTTGTGACGCCTGCAAAAATATAAACATTTGAAGCCTTTAAAACTGAAGCTGTTTTTTTAAGTTATTATTTAAACACTGTAAGCACCCTCGGTGATAATCACGAGTATGCAGAAGTAGTTTACTGTGGATGCCTGGGTACTAAAATAATATAAAGGCGTCAAAAATATCAAAGCCGGCATTTTTTAGTTTTTGTTTCTAACTTTCTACAGCACAAGACTCCGACTAAACGGCTAAAAGTTTTTAGCGGAATTAAAGCATCACTCGAATGATCTGAAGAGTAACTGATTGATTGCCCGGCCGTTATATGCGTAAAATTAGAGCGTTGGGTTATCCGAAAGTCTGTTGAGTATAGCCAGCGCTCATCAGTAAAAGAGTTTCGCTACGGCCGATGCTCACTTTGTTATGTTGCGGGTCATTTGATGGACTCGCGGAGTCTATTAGGTTTCATTAGAAGATGCCTTAGTCATAAGTTTATAATATTAGCCTCTTGCCATCCGCGGCCCTCCGCGAGAATTTTGAATCGGAAGAACCCACACTGGCCGAGGAGAACATCAAACAATGCTCACGTTGCTTGATCGCACTCGTTTATTCCACTCACCGCAGGAATATCAGAACAGTTTGCTTCATTTGTTCCAGCTGTCATCCCAACGAACAGTTCGCGGATCGTAACTAGAAGAAACACTCTCTCCTTATCGTAACATAGTAGAATTGTTCCGTTTAGGTTAAACTTACCACACCATGGCACTCATAAAACCTAGCAGTATCGCGGAAATTTCCAATAGAACACTAGCTTCTCTCAGTGCTCAATATTAGAGCGCAGCTCTTCGGCGCCCGTTTCCGGCTTAAGCGGCGTCGGCGTCGGCGTAACCGCGCGTTGCATCATGGGACGTTTCCCATAATGACATCACACGTGACGTAACGTGTGGCGTCATGAGGGTCACGAGTGACGTCACGAAGGCCAGGAGGAAGGAGGAGGAGGTGGTGGAGGAGAAAATGTTTTCCGCTAAATTTAGCGGAAAAAATTTCCCGCAAAGTTTACCGGAAAAATTCCCCGCTTAATTTAGCGGAAAATTTTACCCGCTAAATTTAGCAGAAGAATTCCAGGCTAAATTTAGCGAAAACATTTCCCCCTCACTTTTACGGAAAAAATTCACCGCGAAATTTAGCAGAAAATATATTCCGCTAACTTTAGCGGAAAAAAATTCCTTGCAAACTTAGCGCAAAAATTTCCACGCTAAATTTAGCGGAAAAATTTCCCCACGAAATTTAACGGAAAAAATTCTCCCCTAAATTTGGCGGAAGAGTCTCCCCATTAAATTGAGCGGAAAAAATTCTCGCTAAATGTACCGGAAACGTTGTTCTGGTAAATTTAGCGAAAACATTTTCCTGCTATATTTAGCGGAAAACATTTTCCGCCAACTTTAGCAGGTAATTTTTTCCGCTGAATTTAACGGGACATGTCGCGAAAATTTCCGCTAAATGATAAGGGAGCAAGATAGGAGGAGGGGATGGGAGGAGGGGAAAGAGGGGCATTCTCTCCCCCCGTACCCCCCCCCCCCCCCCTTCTCCTCAAGAGCTGCGCTCTAATTCAGAATTACAGAGAGTTGTAAACGTCTTTCATTTTTATACTACTGCGGAAGCTAAAAGTTACGCGAAAGCAGAGAACCTGCGATTGCACAGCCCACAGTGCCAGTATTATCTAAGTATCCGGCTTGCAATCACTTCTGTAACATTTAAACGCTAGTGAACCGATATATCTATTTTCAAAGAAAATATATTTAACATAAATAGAGAAGTTCACCCGGAAACAGGCATCCCTCGTGGGGATCAATGCTTCCCAACGTCAGCCGAGAGCCGGCGATGCATCCTAACAAGCGATTATTTAAAGTCGGGCCGTACGCTAGTAGCACAATTCGAACTTCACTGAAGCACCGAACGGTACTACACCATTTCCCGCTATAATTGGTTTCCTACGGATATCATGCGAGAAAATAGACGCACAGATCTACAGCGTCTCGCCTGCGAGCGCGTGTAGCCTATGGGGTGGCCATACTTTTATCCGCACTTCGATGATGATGGTGACAGCGCGACAGTAGTGCCACCTTTAGGTCGACCTCGAGGCCACTAGCTACGAGGTCGGTGGTTGACGGTAGGAAGCATGGGAAACCAAGAGTTGTTGGAGATAGTCAACTTGGCAAAAACATCGCACCGCCGTCTCCGAGTCACTTGGTGTCCCCGACTCCCATCGCATCACGCGCTCGGGGATACAGACCGCGCGGGACCATAGAAGCTTGTGTGATCTTTGGCTGTCACTGATATCCGGAATGAGAACAGGTTGATATCGACGTTGAAGCGAGAAGTGCACCCGAAAAGCCGCCGCTAGCCCTAGCTGACAGCTGCGACCTCGATGAGCACACAGGTTTCCTCAACGTCTTGTGCGTCAAGAATTCGGTAAGAGATCTACTGTGTCCGCAATGTGGTCGACCGTGAACAGAAAGTACTTACTTCTGCTCCTGGAGCGTGTTAGGTGATAGGGCGTCCACCGTATTGAGAAGAAGGTTCTTTGAACTTTCAAATGCGTTTCTCAGTAGATTTAGCGTTTTGAGCATATTGTTGTTTTAAAATTCTAAATGTTTTTAGTTCATGTGTCTAAAATCCTGAAGTAATATGCTTTGGTTGTAAAAGTTATAAGATATTTGAATAAGGCACTTGGTTTTTATTATTTTTTGTGTTCATTGTCAACAAGTTATATTTTTGTGAAAGTAATAAAAGAGAGCTTTAGTCATGAGAAAGTATTTGTAGACGCCTTATTGTGAACACTCCTTGCTTATAATTTCATCCATAGCAAAAAAATGCAAGTTTTCTGTATTTTAAAATGATATTATTTTTTTAAACGGTGCTACTCATAGTCTTCCTTTTCAGATAGGCTGTACTGTAACTTTACAGAAATATATTTTGGTTTGGTGACATTTGGCCAACCCGCCCAAGTTAGCGTTGTTAGTATGATATGCAAGTTTCAGCGCAATCTATGAGGTACTTTAAAAAAGTAGACCTCCCCTTAACCTGGCGCTTCTTAATCACAAAATTTTCTAAGGTACAGGAGGTTCTCAAAGAGTGCTTCTTTCTTTCCTTTTAAGCAACGGAAATATAGGTTCATTATAAAATTATGTTGACAATGCTAAGGAGAAGATTGTCGTAGAGAAATTCTTGTACTAAGATCCAAACATTGTAGTATTTGTTATTCGATTTATAATATAAAATTGAGCCCGATGAGTGCCGGCTGTGAGCTTCTGTCTTAATCGTAGGGCTTGCTTTATTTGTTGCACGTTTTTGTCATAATTAGAATGTTTTTGACCAAATTAAGATCCAAGCTTAAGTATCTGCCAATGATTATGCTGCATGGCACCCAGACCAAAAATGGAAACTTTACGATCAATGCATATGCTTTGTTGCCACGGGTGCGAAAAGTTCACCGGCGTACTGTTTCATTTTGGTCACAAATATCTATATCTACCTCTCTCTCTCTCTCTCTCTCTCTCTCTCTATATATATATATATATATATATATATATATATATATATATATATAAACAACGGGCATGGTGGCGGGAGGCTGAAGGCGTGGGTATAAAACTGAGAAGAAAAAAACCCTTAGTGAAAACAGCAACAGCGGACGATTTAATCTTCGACGTTTCGGCCGGAGTCCGGCCTTCGTCAGGAAGACGAAGGCCGGACTCCGCAGATGGGGCCCCCGCTTTCTACATGCGCCTGACGAAGGCCGGACTCCGGCCGAAACGTCGAAGATTAAATCGTCCGCTGTTGCTGTTTTCACTAAGGGTTTTTTTCTTCTCAGTTATATATATATATATATATATATATATATATATATATATATATATATATATATATATATATACACCGGCGTATTCTCATTGAACGAGTCTTGTACTTGCATGAGAAAACAGGTGGAGAGTCGTGTGCATAATATTACTTACTTTGCTTAGACTTCTCAGTTTCTTCTTTATGTTCTATTTTTTTCATCGTTTTGTGTTTTACGATTGTTGCAGTCCCTCTGCGGGGAGTTGCTGTGACAAGTCCTGCCGCTTCGTCAACACAACGCGCAGTTGTGCGCCCGAAAGCGAGTGCCGTCAGGTGGCGTACTGCAGATATCCTTTAAGCGAAATTTGAGGACTCAACGAAGCGTTCCTATAAGACTTAACTCAATATGAAAGCCAGCCGGTTCACCGTCACGTCCCTGATCACTGACTGGCAGCTTAAAATAGAAGCCGAAGCTCTTAAAAAAAAATTGAAAAGCGTTTCCGACTTCCTGTAATGCAAAACTAGAGCACAGCTCTTGGGGAGGAGGAGGGAGGATACGGAAGAACGGGTGTGAAGGAGGAAAAGGGGAGCTACTCCACACCCTCCCCTCCTCCTCCTGCGTACCCTCCCGTTTTTTCTCTCCGTATCGTCCCCTGCTCCTCGTTAGTGTCCTCCTCTCTCCTATCCTCCTCCCCTTCTCCCTCTCCCCTCCTACTCCTCTCCTCCTCTTACTCCCCTCCCCCTGCCCTTCTCGTCGTCCTGCTCCTCCTCCTTCATAATCTCCCCTCCTCCCACAGTTCCCCGCTAAATCTAGCTGGAAAATTGACGCCACGTGACCTCAGCATGCAATTCAATTCTCCGCTAAATTTAGCGGGAAAAATGATGTCACTTGGCTTCGTGTCACGTCACCTATGAACAAATTCAGTTTCTGGTCTAGATTTAGCAGGAAAATTGATGTCATGTGACTTCAACACCAATTCCCCGCTACATTTAGCGGGGAAACTGAATTTCTTATAGGTGACGCGACACGAAATTATGTGACGTCATTTTCGCCGCTAAATTTAGCGGGAAACTGAATATGTCTATAAGTCTCTGACGTCCCATAATGCAACGCGCGTGGTTACGCCGACGGCTACGCCGCGAGCACGGGAAGGAGCGGCCAAGAGCTGCGATCTAAAAAGTCAGATTTAAGTTTTTGTGTCGCGCTCTCCTGTGTTCGACGCAACGGGCAGAGGCTACGTCAGAATTTTAATTGGCGACTATGACGCTCCTACTACAAAAGAAAACTTGAAACAAAATCGTTTAAGCGCCTGCATAAAAAATCTTAGTTTATTTGTTAGAGCCCAGCTCTTAGGCGCCTGTTTCCGACTTGAGCGGCGTCGGCGTCGCCGTCGGCGTAACCGTAAAGCCACGTGGCCCCTGTGAGGTCACGTGACCACGGTGACGTTATGTGACCCACGTGAGGTTACGTGGCCCCTGTGAGGTCACGTGACCCCGGTGACGTCACATGAACCCGTGAGGTCCCTTGACCCCGGAGAGGTCACGTGACACCCGTGAGGTCACGAAGGCCAGGTGACGTCACGAGGGCCACGGGACCTCGCGGTTACGCCGACAGCGACAGCGATGCCGACGCCGCTCGGAGGGGAAAGGAGAAGGCAGGATGAGGAGGTGAGGAGGAGGGAGGAGTGGTATACGGTCCTCTCAGTACCCTTTCCTCCTCCTCCTCAAGAGCTGCGCTCTAATTGAGGGTTGCAGGGAGTTGTAAACTGCGTTCATTTTTTTTCGAATTCAGTCACTACTTTATTTTATGTTTAAGAAACGCGGGGCGTGGCTATTCCCGAGCATCTTATTATCGGTCCAGCCAATCGCACTTTGGCGTTAAATAATAAGAACGCCGAAGGGCCGATCACGGAGCAACGAGTGTGAACATGTTAATCCACGCCTGCCTTTATTAGACTATCGTTTGCCAGCGAACCAATCTCTTCAATCCACAAAAGAATAATAAAAAAACGTTTCGCATTAGGTTTGACCGCTGCCGTACTTGCGATCCGGTGGAGCCAATCAGGCACCATCAAAAGTGCATCGTCATGAAGCTCGTCGTTCAGTCTGCGATGGCTATCGCCGGTGTAATCAATCGCGCATAGAAATGAAAAACAAAATTATGAGGCATTGTACTCTGTGAACGTGGATGACCAGCGAAGCTGTTTAGCACGTGGCAGATCTGCCCCGTGGAGTCGGAAGAAACTAGACGTGCGCGACGGGACCGCCATCCGGCGGAAGGAAAGGAAACTAGGCACGCAAGCGCTGGAGCGACGACAAGAGAGGGCGTAGAGGACTCAAGCGTAGACATGGCCAACGCGGGTCGCACAGCGGCAGATCTTTGAGAAACCTTTATTATCTACTTGAGGGTCTAGCGAGCAGAAAAATCGTTGGTTATTGGTAACTAATATACTAAAACGTTATATGTAAGTGATGAGACTCATAAGCTTTTGCAGAGAATGAAGCGATTTTGCATCCAATTCGGGACCTGCGTTTTTGTTGACGCACACGAGGAATCCATGGAACCCAAGCCCATAACCAGCTCAGGATCTCGGCGCATTTTCTTTGCGTGTTTGGTTTAGCCGGTGGCAGCTTACGCAGAAAAGCGACGAGCGCCATGACGACAGACTTTGCACGTTCGTGGCATAATCTTTATTCGAATTCATCGAGACCTTAACTGCCTCGTCCGATCCACTGGCGTAGCGGCCAAGTGCCCAAAGCCACCACAGAAGCCTGACCTCACACTGTGCAACAACGGCACACAGGTGTGCCTAGGGGGCAACTGCCAGGGATCCATCTGCCTCCAGTTCGGTTTTGTAGGCTGCCAAGGTACCGGAAAGGACTACACACCGCAACAAATGTGCCTCATTCACTGCAGGGCCAATGGTAAGAGGCGCTTGCTGTGGGGATGTGCAATATATCACCTACTTATAATGGTGATCGATACTTTTCATAAGCTGTCGAGACGATAGTGAACAACGAGTGGGGCTACTAATACCCGATAAGAGAAGGCTTTCTGTATACAACAAAACGAGTAGCCTCGTTGCCAACTTCGAAAAAGAAATATATGAAGGCAGAGAGCGTCTAATGGTGTTTCACACTTTCAGTTTTACCATAAGCTACTTTCGGCTTAAAACATTCGCTAAAATTACTTACAAAATGATCTCTACTCAAGCTTTGCTGCACCTCCTGTAATGTACCGTTATATCAATTTTTAGACTAAATAATTCTGATATTTCAAGGGTTACTCGCTTTCTTGGTTCTCTGTTGTACACGTGAGACACTGTTCACTTGCATCGTATGTTTGTATTCGCCGGATAGCATTCTAACTGCATCGTGCTATATCATAAAAATGCTGTCGACGTATGCATCTTTAACGGTGCTATCCTGGCGATGCGGCGACGCAATGTCCTGGTTCTCTTTTACCAATGGGAGAGAGTCCGAGAGGCTGATACTGTAAAAACACTTAAAAAGTACGGAGGTGCTTTAGCAGGATTAAACATGTAACTATAACGGTATACAACCAGGTGCAAAGCATTAACCAACGCCTTTGGAAGAATGGAGATCTCCTTTGTCTGGTTTGCAGCCACAGGGAGCCCCTGCCTGGACCCGTGCAAGGAACAGAGCCTGCTGGCACTGTGCAAAAGGACCATGGAGCGCGGTGCTGCCTGCTACGACAACCTGGGCTACTGCGACGAGTACACACGCTGCCGCATTATCGACGAACAAGGACCCCTGACCAGGCTGCACGACCTGCTCCTGGGAACAGACACCATATTACGCTGGCTCAAGGTTAGGCCATTCGGGTGCCCCTCTACAAGGGAAAGTAACGACATCCCTTTGGTGAGCGCAGCTTGGTATCCCGGAATAATCATAATGGCAGGCGAGTGTGCAAAAAAAAAAATGTAAACGAGCGTGCGCGGTGGACGAGGATGATTGAGTGGAGGGAGGGGAATGCACATGGCCTGCAGATAGCACCACCTAAAATAAACATAGCCTGTGCACCAGAATGTTTATATCGTCACAGAGAGATTGAGAAAATACACAGATTAGACACGAGTGTTGCGTCATCGTTCGATTGTGCTTCGTGTCCAATCAACGCGTCGAAGAGTGCTCGGCCTCGGGTTCAAGTGCTGAGTTGGCGCCATTTGACTGTGATGACGTTCAATCGAAGAAAAGAAGGACGTCCGCAGACTTCATTATTCTAGCTGGTGTTCCTTCCAAGCGCAGAGGAAGCAACAAACCGATGTTCCTAAAAAAAAGAATCTGAGAAACTCAAGGTTTGAACTTTCGGCATATTTGCGAGTCTTTTTTGGCTTCCGACCGAACTTTGGCTTGCGATTACACCAAGTGTAGAAATGCCGCCTACTATCTCGGGACTTTCATTGGGGTCTCTAAAACGAAAACAAAAACAATTGAAGCAAAAAAAAATGAAAGCCGTTACATTCCCTGACACGCCGAATTAGAGCGCAGCTCTTGAGGAGGAGGAGGGAAGGGTACTGAAAGTGGGGGTCATGTGACCTCGGGGGGTTACGTGATCTCGGGGGTCACGTGACCTTGACGATGACGATCTGATGATATCATCAGTGATGATGACGATGACGATGCGGATATCAATGACGTCACCAGGTTGCGTGCAACCTGAATTGCATGCAACAGGTTGCATACAACTTGTACGCCGGTGGCATGCAACAGGTTGCATGCAACCCAGGTTACACGCCAGCTGTGTAGCAGGTTGCATGCAACCTGTTGGATGCAACTCCCGAAGGAACCCGAGGTCCTCCCGAGGTCCTACCGAAGAAACCCGAGGTCCTCCTGAGGTCCCCCCGAAGGGACCCGAGGTCCTCCCGAAGGACATCGGGTTCCTTCGGGACGACTTCGGGTTCCTTCGGGAGGACCTCGGGTCCCTTCGGAAAAATTTACCCATAATGCACTGCGCGGTTACGCCGACGGCGCCGGCGACACCGACGGCGCCTGCGACGCCGCTCAAGCCGGAAACGGGCGCCTAAGAGCTGCGCTCTAAAAATATGAAATTGCTCTTGTCGTTACGCTGATTCTCAACGAAATGGTTTAGCATTTAGCGCAGGGGTTCCCCGTCGGCGAAGGATGAGAATTCCAGCCCCTCGTGGCGATTCGCTCACTGTTGTGTTCAGGGAGCCAGTCTGTTCTCCCAGGCGCCTGTGGTCGCGTCGTCGCTGCGCGTTGTGCCACTGCCACGGCCGCTCGATCCCCTCCTCTCCCGCTCCCGCGGCGCGTCATTGGAAGTGCGCCAGAAGACCCTTTCCCTATTGTAAGAGGGAACGTTGACGTAACAAGTGAATTAATGGAGCGAAAGAGCACGGCGGGAACCACGCATAGGCCTTATGAAACCAGTCAAACGACGACCAACCCCCCAAAAAAACGGCTGCACGCACGAAAGCAAAAAAAGGGCCAACTCAATAAAAGAACAAAAAAAAAAAAAAGTGCGCGTCGGAAGAAAAGAGAGATATGTCGTTATCTTTTTCATTCAGGCGCGTAGATTGGGGAGATGCGCAGCACGCACATTTTACGCATTTTTTTTTTTTTTAGTTTGATCGAGATGAAATTTGGCGGAAACAAAAACCCCCGGTTCTTTTCAAGCCAGACTTTACAAAGCGAATAAGAGGTGAATATGCGACGAATTTTTTTCCTGTGGTATTCGATCTTCGTGAGGCGTCAGGAGACTGCCTGCCGTGTCGGGCAAAGTTCGTGGGCTATTTTTTTTCCGCATATATCATTAATAGAATTCAGCCGTTTGATTTAAAGCTTTTCTCTCAAATCTTACGTTTGCACGACTAGCGAACCAAATCAGAAATGCGGGGGAAATGGCTGAGACTGGGTAATTTACAGATATCTTGGACAATGAAGATGATCGACGTTGTCACCAGAAATCCAGGAACGAATTCTGAGTCACCATTTAATTCTCGATTACCCAATGGGGCTCCCACGTCTTCATTATTTAACCGATGACGCTGCCACGTGCAAGACTCGACCGCAGTTTTGGGTTTGCACATATATGTGATGGTTTGAAATACCTGCGCGAGGGAATACCCATGCGTTGGGGCTCACATAGCCCTGGGCCGTAAGTTTCAACAGTAGCCGCTGAGCTGTCTCAAAACGCGACGACGCCTAGCTGAGAAGCGTGAAGAATGTTGAGTATATCGAGTGGCCTATATACAGGGTATTCAGTTTTAATTTCCACATAATTTTTTTAGGTAGCATTTGAGAGCTAGACCTGTTCTGTCTTCCCTGTGTATTTACCAGGCTCGGTGGACATTAGATGAGGAAATAATCATCACGGTAAGGTGACTAATTAACTAATATATGTTAATTAACGTCTTTATTACTGACCTTAGAGGTAACGTTGAAAAGGCAGGATTGACGGCAACTTGTATTAGAGACCAGACCAATTTAAAGCCTTTGGAAAAATGTAATGTGTTTGAAGTAGGGGTGGGCGAATATTCGAAATTTCGAATACGAATCGAATATTATACATTTAATATTCGTATTCGATTCGTAAACTAAGTCTTTGGTATTTTTCGAATATTTAACGTAACAGGAATATTCTAAAGTAATCAAATATTCGAGAACGTTTTCGCAAGCGGAAGTTTTGCTTTTGGATTCAGTTTCGGTAGGTAACGACATAGCTGCATGGAGGCTTCAACCTAAACTGGTGGCGTCGGTGTCGTAGCGGTAATTAGGGAGGTTCCAGTGAGGGTGGGCGTAACTCAAAACCTGGAGAGCGTTTGGAGTTTAAGGGCAGCGCCTGAGGGAGAGGATTGGGAAAGGATACGCGCCAATGTTGCCTGCTCGAGAGCAGACGCCCGCTCTGTTGGAACTCTGTTGCTCCATGCGCCTTTCCTTCTCTCGCCTTCCATAGCAAGCAACGAACGCCTTGGCGTAGCCTTTCTCGCTTCCTTCTCGCTCAGAAAATTCCAAACTTCGAAAGGAGGAAGCAGGGTTGCCAGACAAGCAGGAGCGTCCAAGATGGCGGAATTTACCATTTTTCGCATTAAACAAATACTTAACCTATCGGAACAAGACTGGTGGCTATGGAAAACTAGTCATTTATACCTTGCGTGAATTATTCGAGCACATTAAAGGGATACTTCAACAAAATTTGAAATATTCCCGCCGTGTTTTAAAATAGGTTGAATATGATCCACAATATCCAAAAATGACAATCGCACGTTTGCATAATGAGCCTTGTGGCTGTATTTTTCGTTATAGACGGCCCACTCTGGCAAGCGGTCGGAGAAGGCCCAGCGGAGACCACGTGACATCCAACGCAATCGTGACCTAGGTCGTCTTAAGACGAGCAAAGCTACGGCCAGCTGCGGAAAGTCCTTGGGCGGTGTCCGGGTGGGAGGGGACTGTCGTGGCTGTTCGGGGGAACAGTTGCTAGAGTGCCACGACAAGGGACTCCTGCATCGCTGTCCGCTCTTGCCGTAGAGCTTGTAGCATCGAAGTGCGATCATCCTGCATAGCTTGCCGGAGATTTCTGGTGTGATCAGCAATGGCCTCATTAATAATGGCAGGAATGTCGTCGTCATCGTCGGATTGTCGAGTCGCTGGTGCGGGGGTCTTAGGAGGCATTAGTTGACGAAGCTTGCGCACGGGTAGAAAAGGGTCTATCAACTGCTCGAAGCAAAGCGGACGTCGAAAGGATGGCCTAGTCGTTCCAGCCACCGAAGCGGCTGCCTTTGTACACTGTTAGCAAGTCCCGTGTATTTGGCGAATATTTGGGGTGAAAAACACGCCATTTACACAAATTACCATAAATTTACACGATGAGTAACGGATAATTTGTTCAGAAATCATGCGAGGTTGTAAAAAACGTGTTATGGTTCGGTTATACACGCATAGCCGCCTAGCGGACCTCGAAAACACGCATCGCCCCCGGCGACGACCGCGGCATTGCCGGCTATCGAAGCACCGGAATGCTTGGGGACACACTTAGAAAGGACCGTCGAGACAAATGCCGCGGAAAGAAACATGTCTCGGAGACAGATATGCACCAAAAGCAATTGCGCCATGTCGCAGGACGTTGGCGAAACCCACACTTACCGGGCTCGCCGCCGTCGCCGCCATCTTCTGGTCGATGGCAATGCGGCTCGCTTCATGTCGCCTATGTTTGTATTTGGGTCCTGATAACAGTTTCTTAGACACCACAAATAAAGTTATGGGTCTAATTATTCGTTCCAAACAGTTAAAATGGATATAAAAAGCGTATCCTCGATGTGAACACGTGACATTGCAGTTGGTTTCGTTTTTGCTTCAACCTTCAACTGCAAGCGATCTGGCGATCTGGCCACGGCGCAAGCGCAACGCCGATGTACGCTGGAAGCAAGCGCCGGTTGGCTTTCGTTGTTTTTGTTTGACCGGAGAAAATCTGGCAAGTACGCATGGCGTCGCTACTGTTTTGGTTTGACGGGACGCGAGAAGCTTCGCATAGTGCTTCGGAGTTTGCGAGCATATAGTGAAGACGTGACCGGAGAAGTGCCCCTGTGATGTTCCTGGAAGACGGAAAGTAGCATTCGTAATCGTCGTATGTGCTTTGAAAGCGAAGGGAGTCACAGGGTCCACGAGTTCGCAACCACAAGCCAAGGTTCACGACAGCGCGGCGTTGACTTCGGCGATCTCGTTCTGTTTGGTGCAACCCGGCGATGCGAAAAAGAGCTGAAACATTCGTCGTGTGTGGTGCGGTGCTTTGTATTCCGGGTCTGTTTGAACCACGCTTTTAACACGGAGCGCAAATTGTTTGTTGCGTGGTG